AACTGTTTCAATTCTTCCCTTCAGGAAGCACAATAAGACATTGCATGCCAAAATAACTAGACACAGAGACAGTTTTTTTCCCTTGTGCCATCACTGGGCTGAACACCTAATTGTCACAGTTCTGTCTAATGTCTATGTATATTTATGTAGGTAGTGTGACTGCAGTATTATTATTATCCTTCTCACCTTCTCTGTTACCCCCTCTTATTGGTTTCATTACTCTGTTGCTTTGCATGTACACTGAGACCTTCTGCCCAGGAGACAAATTCCCTGTGTGTGTAATCATACTTGACCAAATAAAGTATTCCATTCCATTCAATATTATGTGCAATTCTGGCCCTCTGCACTTAAAAAATGATACAATAGAGTTAGAAAAGATTCAGAGGAGGAAGGCTAAGGTGATCAGAGGGCTGGAGCTGCTTCCCTATCAGGAATGGTTGCCACACTTGGAGGTGGGTTGTTGGGTTGTTGTTGTTGTTGTTTGCATAGAAATGTGATGTATGAAAGAGATCATTACTGAGGTTTACAAAATTATGTATGGTATTGATAAAATGGACAAAGAAAAGCTACTTTCCCCACCTCAAAGCATAAAAAAACGAGGGTCAGCCGATGACATTGAATCCTGAAAGAATCAGAATAGATAAAAGGAAGCATTTTTTCACACAGCATGTAATTAAATTTTGTACTTTGCTCCCAGAAGATGTGGTGCTTTGGCTGGCTTCAAAAAAAGATGTACAGTAAGCCAATTTAATCAAAGGTAAAATCAGGACCAAAAAGCATCATTTAGCAAACATTCTGTGACACAAGAGAATGATTGATGTCAAATATTTTTGCTATTTTTGCTATCTTCACCTGCAGCTATTTTAGTTCTTCTGATTAGATTCAGCAGGTTAAAATTTGGGCCAGCAGTTTCACTGGGGCTTGCTATCTTAGGACTAATTTCATAGGAACATCAGTTCCACCTATTTCATGGAATGCTCCTTTTCTTTAACTTTAGCCCCTGCCAAGGTCTCGGTGTGTGGATAGTTGCTTGCCTGGGTTTGTCAAGCTGGTTGATGAAGATAAACCAGTTTGCTGCTACAGTTGTATTCCTTGTGCAGAAGGGACCATCTCCACCCAGGAAGGTGGGTGATTCCAGAGAGAAAAGCTGTCCGTGTTTTACTAGTTTTGAATAACCACAATTAATTCTAATATTTCAATTTGTTTTATATCTATCCTGCATTTTTATTTCATTTCACAATCACAGAAATTTGGGGCTCAGTTGTGGTAAAAAGTCAAGGACTACCTATATTCTGGCAAGATTATGAAGACTGACTTGTGTTCTGTAGTAGAGATTGGGAACACAATCCAATAGATTGTCTTTTAAATTTATCATTTTCCTAATTATGCAATAGAATTTTCCAGTATTATTAAAAATGTACCATGTTTCCCCAAAAATAAGACCGGGTCTTAGGTTTTTTTTCCCCTCCAAAAGAGGCACCAGGTCTTATTTTGGGTGGACGTCTTTTATACTCTTTTATATACCGACAGCCCCACCCAGCCGAACCTTCTGTGGCCAAAGGAATAGCTGCATTATGCAGCTGCATTCTGGCCTGCATTTTGCAGTCAGGCCTTTCTGGAAGGCCTTGCAGCCGAGTACCGAGCAATGGATTCAATCCATAGCTCAGTTCTCGGCTGCAGAGGCCTTCCGGAAAGGCCTGTGGTTGAGAAATGCGAGTCTGGCTGCAGAAGACGCTGCAGAAGAAGTGGGTGGGTGAGGAGAGGCCTGGCTATGAGGTAAGTGGGTACAGGGCTGTGGGACAGATCCACAACCCCACCCCCACACTAGCTTGATTTTTAAATGGGGATTATTTTTGAGGCAGGGTTTATATTAAGCCCACCCCCAAAAATCAAGCTAGGGCTTATTTTCAGGGTAGGTCTTACTTTCGAGGAAACACGGTATATAGGGGAGTATCTGTATATATTGACTTAATGCATTCCCATATGCAAAATTACTTCTAAAATGTGCTTATTGACAATCTTGTGAACAAAAATCCTATAAACAGAAGAGAACATCAAGAGATTTTCAAACCACTGAAGTACATGAGTGTTGCATTTGTTCTTTGCAGATGCCAAACATTGTCTGAGATGCCCCAAGGACCGGCACCCCAACAAGGAACGGGATCAGTGTGTTCCTAAGGTGATCACTTTCCTATCCTATTCAGAAGATCTGGGAGTCATCCTTACTTCCTTCGCTTTACTTTTCTCTTTGAGCTCCGGCTTTGTTTTAAACATATTCATTAAGCACCTGGAAACCCCAGTAGTCAAAGCCAACAACCGGGACCTGTCCTACCTGCTCCTCATTGCCCTCCTGCTTTCCTTCCTGTCTTCCTTCCTCTTCATTGGCCAGCCAAGGAGAGCTACCTGCCTTCTGCGACAAGCTACCTTCAGCATCATATTCTCCATAGCCGTGTCTTCTCTTTTGGCCAAAACCATCACAGTGGTGCTGGCCTTTCTAGCCACCAAACCAGGAAATAGCATGAGAAAATGGCTGGGGAAGCCTTTGGGCAACTCCATTGTCCTTTGCTGCTCTTTTATCCAAGTTATAATCAGCACTATCTGGTTAGGTACTACTCCCCCATTCCCAGACTCAGATATGACTTCCCAGACCAGAGAGATTGTCCTGCAATGCAATGAAGGCTCTGTTGCAATGTTCTACACTGCTCTCTGCTACATGGGCTTCCTTGCAGCCATCTGCTTCACAGTAGCTTTCCTGGCCCGGAGGTTGCCTGGCGCCTTCAATGAAGCCAAGCTAATCACCTTCAGCATGCTGGTCTTCTGTAGTGTTTGGATCTCCTTTGTGCCTACCTACCTGAGCACCAAGGGGAAATACATGGTGGCTGTGCAGGTCTTTTCCATCTTGGCTTCCAGTGCTGGGCTGCTGGGTTGCATCTTTTTCCCCAAGTGCTACATTATTCTTTTTCGACCTGATTTGAATACAAAAGAGCAGCTTATTCTGAAAAGCAAAACAGAAATGTGATTTTAAACCTGCACAATTTAGCAAGCAGCATAGGACCAATTTGCTTATTAGTGTTCCCCAAGACAAATGTTTAGATCAATCATGATAATTAGGGAAGTTCATTTCATCTGTTTTATACTTTTACTCTAACATCCATTTGTTTAAAAAAGTTCTCTTCTTTTAAAGGTATGGTAGAATCATAGCTTCAATCTTTTTACCAAAAAAAGAGACTTCAAAATTAAGAAAGAATGAATGAAAGAAAAAAGATTACTGCTGATATCAAAGTCTCAATGTTTTGTGAGACATTGGCTGTTGTCATCTGTCTGGGTGTAGATCTGTGAAGTATCTGAAATTATCTGTGCTGTTACATTAGATCTTTTAGATTCTTCTGCACACAATACTTAATCCAATCAAGTAGCAAGATTTAACAATTCAAAGGGGGATTACAAAGGATTACAAGGGATTGTGTTTATTAAAAATAATCAACAAACTAAATTGATATTTATTGAACAGATCTATTAGTAGCAATTTCTTGGTGAATTCTCCCACTATGTTAACTCAAATCTGATTGATTACTTTAATTATATGGAATTAAATTACTATATACAAAAGTTTTATCTAGGCAATCAATCTGATAGTTACCATGTTTCAAGCATCACAGTTATAAAAGTATACAACAATTGTTTTCTCAAAGAGACCCTACTCCAATTGTGGAACCAGTTAGAGCTGAAGATGATCCCTGACGATTGGACTCAGCATTTCAATAAGCAAACATCTCAGCTGCTTCTGTCTGATGAAGCATTGCAATTTCACTCTACTACACTTAAAAGGACAGATTTTCTGCAAACTTCCACAGAATTTCACCAAACTGATTGTGTTACTCCAGTCTATGCTCTCCATTTAGATACTGAGGAAGAGAGAAAAATACAGGAGTAGGACCTATCCCTCTCAAGCCCTGCTTTGACATGGAAAATTTTTGAAGCCAAGAGTAAATTGATTAGGAAATTCAAATTATAAAAAGAGAACTCAGCTGAACATTCTATTCAGGACTCTATGTTCTTGAATAAAAAATATATAAAAACATCTATCACAAAACAAGAACAGAGAATTCAATAGGTCTTGTCTTCTTGGCAGTAGTTGATAATAAAAAGCCAGAAATCCCATTTTATTCTGGTGCCAGCTGACTTCCCACCCAATTGATAGGACCTTTTCACTTTCCCATCTGTTACTTGCATCTGTATGGGTGGACCACTTCAGAGCATTATATGTATAAGAAGAACATGACTTAATGTAACCTACTCCCTAATTGCACCCCAGTCTCAAGTGCTGAAATAGTTTGAAGCTTAGAAGACTAAACTTCTGGTCTCCATGATTGACTCAGATTGGAGCCTGAAATAAAGATTCTTCTACAGCAGGGATGTCAAACTGCCAGCCCATGGGCCGCATGCATCATAACGAAACTGCTCCTACCCCATCGCCAGCAATGGCAAAAAGTCGCAATACATTGCAAAACATCACGTGATGTTGCGAGTTTGACACCCCTGTTCTACAGCCTACACCAGAACATGGAATGGCAAACCCCAATTCTTGGGGGATGCTAGATACTTATAAAACAAATTAGTTCACTGGGTCAACCCAGAGTATATATTGGCACATGAACACACAGACTTCAGAGCTGGATGTTCTACTTATGGACATGCTGTAATACTCCAATGTTCGGACCAATTACTGATCTGAGAAAGATTTGAAATCAACTACAAGTAGTCCTTACTTACTGACAACCGCTGTATAAATTGATCTTTTTATGTTGTTTATTTTGTTTTTTTCTTTTCTTCAATCATTTCTTTAACTCTAAATATTCATTTCTGTAAGTTTTTTCTTTCTTTATGAAAATCCTTCAACAGTCTCCCACAGCAAGCTTTATTCAAAGCTTATTATGTTATATGAAAAGTCACATTAAATTACATAAAGCAATTTTTCCAATATCTCAAGTCTTATTCACTCACAAATTCAAAATCACTAACATTTATGTCCTGTATCAACAAAATTGCATGAAGTGTTCCTAGCACTTTATAAAAGTATTTCTTGTTTTAACTCTGATCAAACCGGTCAGTTTTAGATTCCTTTCTTTTGTTTCTAATATTCTTAATCTTTGCTTCATTAAGATATAACCTCTAACCCAAACTTCTTTCTTGGGAGTTTCTTCGTGGTTTTAACAGTCCCCTTTTGTAAAAGGGGTAAGTAGTAAGTCATTATCTGGTCATTTTTCATCTCATGGCTTATTGTTTGTATATTTCCACTTAGTTTTCATCTCTGTCATAATCCACAATTCTATTATATTTTCCTGTATTTCTACTTAGGATGGGGCTTGCTTTATGTTTTCATCATGTGGATCTGTAAATTTTTCCAAATTATTCTCCTTCTCATCTTTCATTTGTTCTATTAAATCTCTTTTAAATCATGCTGAGTTAGGATTACAATGGAATTGTAATGGAATTCATAGATGACTTTGAGGCGGGTGAAGAAAAAGTGCTGCCTGGAACATGATCAGAGAAGAGAGGGGGAACCTTCAGTGGCTTAATAGGCAGAGAGAAATACTTACAAAGGATCCACCTTTATGGATCAGTTAAAATGGCAGCAGGTAGTTAGTACTTTCAAACTTGCAAGGTTCTTTTAATAATAATAATAATAATAATAATAATAATAATAATAAGCCTTTGATTGTGTGGATCACAACAAATTGTGGCAAGTTCTTAAAGAGATGGGAATACCAGACCATCTTATTTGTCTGTTGAGAAACCTATATGCGGGTCAAGAAGCAACAGTGAGAACTGGACACGGAACCACTGATTGGTTCAAAATTGGAAAAGGAGTCCGGCAAGGCTGTATATTGTCTATTTAACTTATATGCAGAACACATCATGAGAAAGGCAGGGCTAGATGAATCAAAAGTTGGAATTAAGATTACCGGGAGAAATATCAACAACCTAAGATATGCAGATGATACCACTCTAATGTCAGAAAGTGAAGAGGAACTAAAGAGCCTCTTGATGCGGGTGAAGAAGGAGAGTGCAAAAGTTGGCTTGAAACTCAACATTAAGAAAACCAAAATCATGGCATCCGGCCCTCTCAATTCCTGGCAAATAGATGGGGAAGAAATGGAGGTAGTGACAGATTTTATTTTTCTGGGCTCCAAAATCACCTCAGGTGGGGACTGCAGCCAAAAATTAAAGACGCTTGCTCTCTGGGGAGGAAGCTATGGCAATCTAGAACATGCTACTAAAAGCAGAGACATCACCCTGCCAACAAAAGTGCGTATAGTCCAGGCCATGGTTTTCCCCGTTGCAATGTATGGCTGTGAAAGTTGGACCATAAGAAAGGCTGAGCGCAAAAGAATTGAGGCCTTTGAACTATGGTGCTGGAGAAGACTCCTGCGAGTCCCTTGGACTGCAAGGCGTTCAAACCGGTCAGTCCTAGAAGAGATCAACCCCGACTGCTCTTTAGAAGGCCAGATCCTGAAGTTGAAACTCAAGTACTTTGGCCACCTATGAGAAGGAAGCTCCTGGAAGGGCCTATGCTGGGAAAGATTGATGCATGAAGAAGGGGACGACAGAGAATGAGATGGCTGGATGGAGTCACTGAAGCAGTAGGTGTGAATTTAAATGGACTCCAGAAGATGGTAGAGGACAGGAAGATCTGGAGGAACGTTGTCCATGGGGTCGCGATGGGTCGGACACGACTTTGCAATTAACAACAACAAGCTTAATGAAGACTTCTTGCAGAGACAGACCAGAGACAAAACATGAGACTGGAAATCCAGCTCCTAACTCAATACTCTTTTTGCACAGACTCAGTAGCACTTTCTTCACATTGGCTGACTGAGTTACCACATGACTCTTCCTGTTCATGAATATTCCAACACTCCTCCCTTCATGACAGGAAGAGACATCAGACCTATTGACTTAACACATTCTCCATAGTGTAACACTACCCAATGGTTTAGTCATCATGTCTGCCAAATTATCCTCAGAAGAACAATGATGTAAACTAATCAATTTTCCTTTTACAGCTTCCCTGACATTACATTACTTAATGTCTACATGTTTACTTCTGTTCTTCATCCTGTCACCAGTTGCCATTTTTATACAGGCAGCATTGTCTTCAAATACCTTTACAGATTCTTTTACATTAATATTTAAATCTTGCAACAACTGTACATATCCATGTTACTTCAGAACACAATTCAGATAAAGCAATAAACTCTGCTTCCGCTGTTGAAATAGCAACAGTTGTTTGTTTTCTGGACTTCCATCCAATCAGAGTCCCTCCAAACAATATTATAATCCCAGAATTTGATTTCCTTGTGTTTATGTCATTTGCATAGTCACTATCGACGTAACACTTTAATTTCAATTCCTCAGTAATCTGTATTTGAAGACCCAAATTTATAGTTCTCCTTTAAATATCTGAGAACCCTTTTTACACCCATCCAATGTAACTTTGTAGGTGCAGCAGTAAAACGACTCAAAATGCTTACTGCGCAAGCTATGTCTGGTCTGGACCACTGTGATAGATATAACAAACTCCCTATTGCTGAGTGATACATCTCTTGATCACAGGTTTCACCTTTGTCCGCACTTAAACTATTATAAAAGTCTGCACTCATGGGTGTGGGAGCAGTATTGCAATCCTTCATATTATATTTCTCCAATAACTGCTCAATTTTTCTCCTTTGACTGAGAATATAACCACCTTTTTCATTTTTCTGTATCTCTACACCAAGATAATTTTTTATTTCTCCCAATTCTTTAATTCAAATTTCTTTCCTAATTTATCAGCAAATTCTTTGACTTGTGATGCATCCTTTGCGATGAAGCAAAGATCATCCACAAATGATAACAGTAGACAATTCCCTCCTTGTCAACTGTCCAGTATATATACAATTATCAGCTTTGCAACTTTTAAATCCAAGATCCTTTAAAGCAGTATCTAAACAGATATTCCAGTTTCTGGCTGACTGCTTCAGCCCATAAATAGCCTTGTTTAATTTATATACCATGTTAGGTTTTGCAATTTCATATCCTGGTGCTTGGATCATATAAATTTCTTCCTCTAACTCAGCATTGAGGAATGCAGTTGTGATATCAAAGTGCCAGATTTTATGCTTATATGCCGCTGCCAATGCCAGTGCTAATCTTATACTCTCACTTTTCACAGTTGGCGCAAATACTTCATCATCGTGCACATTCTTTAATTGTGAAAAACCTTGTGCCACTAACCTGGCCTTGTACTGTATATCATTATTTGGCAATACCTTTTTCTTATATACCCATTTACAACCCACAGCTTTGGTTCCCTGTGGCAAAGTCACTGATTTAAATACTTCATGGTCTCTCATGGATTTC